TACTTATTGGTAAATCGCTGCCAAGTGCTGTTTGTCCAGACCTCAACAATGCTTAGCCAGCAACACTTGGCACAGGAAGAACAATTTGGGAAACACTTTGACCAGAAAACCAAACCTTGGTGAACTCCCTGCCAAAATCCTATTCGGAACTAACTAATGCAGCAGTTCCAAGACACCCAACAGAAACACCTGTCACAAAAAAAAGAAAAACTGTCCTCCTCCTTCCTCCGGCCCTACACCCAACCCACTTGGGGTGGTGGAGGATCCACCTACACCATCCTACACCTATCTCAACAGGGCCCGCCCCAACCGACCTCCCGTCCCCTCCGCCCCCGGACCCCCGGACCCTCCCCGGTCCTCAAAGGGTCCGAAGGCGAAACCTTCCAAGAATTGGGGCACCGGTGCGCCCACGGTCACCAGCAAAGCACGCAAATATCCTGGAAAGAAACGGTCCAAACATGTTCAAACGCTCCAGGAGTCTGGAGGGATTCTGGAGGGATTCTGAAGAAGGATTCTCCAGGAGGATCGGAATCTGAAGCATTTTTTCAAACAAACGATTCCCGGATCTGAACAAAGGAAGGGGATGGCGTCTTGATGGGTATGCCATACCTGGTTCCATCGTGAGCATCAATTCTAGTTGTCCAATTCAATGAGCCACAAACAACAAGGCTCTCAGTCAAAAACATGAAAGATCACAAGGTGTTCCTAGACTCCAGGTCTCGCAAACATCACCTCTTTTTGAAACAACACTGCAGTGTCTGCCCGCCTTCCCATCCACGGGACACCGCAGCACCAGTCATCACATTGTTGATGATGTTCGTCAATCCAACCATGCAGGCAGGTAGTTCCCCTGCAAATCAACGTGCCATGCCCAACATACCTTTTCGTCAGGAAAGTGTTTGACAATGATATTTCGACAACATACTCAAGCAGATCATGAAGTTTTGAGAAATGAATTGTTGCGAACATATGCCTCACTTTCACCGCTCCAAATAAAATAATCCACTATATAATCCTCAACTGACAGTATGTGGAACATGTCCAACATTGTGGATCACGTGTGACCCCAAAAAATGTCTCAGCCCCATCCAACTTGGGTACCTTGGTGTTTCTGACGTTCTGAAGGAAGAGAGTGCCACATTCTCTGCCACCTGACCTACCCTTTGTGGACTTCCCTGGTCTCAGTTGGCTGCAGTGAGTCAGCTTGACTTGGTTCCACATTCCGCAAACGCGTCACTCTCATGTGGCATCCCAGCAATAAATGCAGAAAAAGTGCTTCTGACATGAGATAGAAAACGGCGTCAAACAACTAACACATCAACACAACAGAAAACTACTATAAACTGCTAAAATAACATTGACTAACCAGGCTAACCAAATCTTAAACAATCCCACATGGATTGATAGGCTAACCGGTGAATCCTCTCTGCTTTTTGCGACCGAGAAGCCAGCAGAGTGGTAGACAAAGCTGTAGGAGCTGCCAGTCGATGGCGCCAAATTGGCCATCTCTGCATAGCACAAGCCTGCCGGTGTTGCGAATACGAAAAAAGGCAGCAACAACAACAACAACAACAACCGGTAGCAAGCTTTGGGATGGAAGTAGCAACTAGCACTGGTCCACTGGTCTTGAAAGCCGGTGTCGCTCACATTGGAGATATTGTTTTTTCACTTGCAATCTTCAGTGCGGTCATCACGTGTTCTTTGAAGAAGATCTTTGGAGACTTGGTCTGTTTTGTTCTCTTTCTCTCTCTCTCTCTCTATCTCGCAAGGCCGTAATTACTGTAATCATCGTGATGTCCGCTGTGCTAGCCTGTGCAGCCACAGCCAAAAGCGGCAATCAGCAGGGCGATCACCACAGCCTGAAGCTGAGGTGATCGAATAGTGAAGCAAAGTCTGCTTCACTTGAGCAGTGTCAAAGACCCGAGCTGTGGTACCGCGGTTCCACCACGGCCCGCTGCGTCAAGTGGGGGTGCGATGGCGTGCGGCGTGACATTGGAAGAAATCGGACGCCAGATCTCAGTGGTCGAAAAGAGGACTTCCCAATCAATCCCAGGAAATGGTGGAACAAGGAATAAACATCCGTTTGAAGTTCGTTCTTAGGCAACTGCTTTCAGATCCTAAAATATCATGCAAATAACACAAAACGAATAAAAATAACTATGCACCCCCCCCCAAAAAAAAAAAAAGTTCCGTAAAACACCAAAAAACGTAAAAACGTCTGGCACATGACGATCCACTCTCTTCAAGGTTTTTGGGGGGCCACCATCCCCATTGGGGGTGGACTGTTCGTCCCACTGCCCATACGGTCCACCCTTCATCCCCCGGAGACGTGTCCCAGTGGCCGGTCCGGCTTCTTCCGAGGCCTTGCCGGTGGCCATGAAGACCCCGGCGCCCACCGTGACGCCCATCCCCAGGCCCACCACATCCCTCGTCCTCGGTGTCGCGACGCTGAGAACAGACCCAGATGGCAGGCGAAGAGGACCGGAAGGAGATCAACTGTGAGTTGGGGAGATGATTTGGGGGTCGGTCTTTGGGAGGTCTTGATGTGTCAGGGTGGAAGGAAAAAACCTGGAAAAAGATGCTAAAAATCTCCCACTCGTTGTCACACCGGACCCGGTCCCGTCGTTGTTCGCGCACCGGTCCAATGCCTCTGTGGTCCGGTGCGTTTTGGGTCGAACGCAGGGGTTGAGGATCCCGGTCCAAGAGGAGGGCGCTTTGGGTCGACATGTGAGAGACCAAGCGTGCCTCTAGGATTGAAAGTCGGACATGGACATGGGTGGCCGCAAAACGACGTTTATATATCCGCCGACCACACCGTGGGGTGAGGCGTGACTGTCGATGTTAGCCTTAGCCTTAGGCCTTAGCCTTAGCCTTAGACCTTAGACCTAGTCCTTAGCCTTAGACCTAGACCTTACCTCCCCTACCCCTCCGGACCCTTGTTGGAGTGACGAAATCCTGCCGGGAAAGCGACCTGGATTGTCCAAGAATCTGCCATCCCAATTGATTTACATCTTGGGGCACCCTCTCGACCCGCGCGGGAAAATAAGCACGGTCCAAAATGGTCCTGGGCTCGAATCCCGGGCTGGTCGCGGCATGGTCCCGGCCAGTGCCCTTGCTTTTTCGTAGATTTTGTCACGTTTTCTGTTGGTTTATGAGATTTTCAAAGGCTTTTCTGGCATTTTCCTAGGAATGTTCTAGGCTTTGTCTTTTTGGGTACCTGCTTTGGTGGTGCTGGGTTGGGTCTGCACTCTTAAGGCTAAGGCTAAGGCTTAAGGCTAAGGCTAACATAGAGCAAGGCTAGCGCTAAGGTTCTATCCCTTGGGGGTCGGCGGCTGCAGGCGGTAGCCTGGTAAATAACATCTTCATGAATAGGCTTCATTGTTTCATGGCTTAGTTGATTGGCCGGATACAGTGACTATGAAGTCACCTAAAACATGAGGTACCGTCCAAAATGATCAAACATGGCACATGTGACGTGTTTTGTTGAAGTCATGAAGTGGAGAAGAACCAAAGCATACCATTCATGTGTGATCATGGGTCAATCTTCAGTTCTTCAATCCATCCATGGCAACGACGCAAGGCAGCGATCTTCAAAACGGGCCGCTTCAGGCAACGACGTAGTCCACCGTCTTCTTCCTCTTCCGGGATGGGCTTGGTCCGTGATGCTCGCTTCAGGACATTTGTCAAGGAATGCATTGTGCCTTTCCTGCCGCGGATGGCGTTCACCCGTGGTCACGGTCTCAAAGGCGTGATCCAAACAGCTTGAACCCTTGGCGCAGGTTTCTAGCTGGAAGTGATCAACAGGGCTGCCTACTGGACCAAAAGGTGAAGTGACTAAACACGGAACTGACTAAACACCGAAGACCTGAGCAGATTCAGTTCGCTGCTCCTTCCTGTTCACTGCAGCTTGGGTCACAGCATCCACGGAAAGACAGGACACAGACAGGACGATTTCACCAAGAAGAAACTCTGACATACCTACTCACCCAGCTGTCCCAGCAGCATATCTCACACGTCTTATGGGGGAAGTTCAGGCAAACAGCAAGTCTGGATGCTTTGCTTCTGAAAAGGACGCGCCACCTGGGCCCGCGGAGCGACTTGGAACGAGGACCGCTCACTTTTCCCGGAGGCCCATCTTCGGAGGAACCATCACTGGTTATCGCCGCGCGCTCCTGTTGTGGCAATGGTCATGCTCCGGGAAGTCGTTCATCGCTCGGATCGCTTGAATGGCTTGTTTCTCTGCGTTGTCTTGAGAAATCAAGCATGAACTCTTGAAAGATCCTTGGAGGTCGGGTTATCTATTGATCTGAAATGCTCGCAACTTGTATTACCTTTTGGCTGATCTTGGAGTGACAACACAAGAAGTCTTGCGAAAGAGCACAAGCACCGGCGTGAAACACAATGAGTGAAGATGTGCAGGGAAAAGCAGAGAGTGGCAACCAGAGCTGTAGTCGTTAAAGTGAATAAGTGAAGAAGGCAACACTAACCACAGACAGCAGGTTGAATTCTAAAGCAAGAGGACACGACCAAGTATACAAGAGAGCCTACCAAAACTCCTGTCACACACTAAATCAACAACATGGCCACGTTTGGCGAGTACGGACCAATACATCCATCAGGTGACGTTTTGCGAGTCAAACCGTCTGTTTTCCGGACCAGGCGTGGTCATTTGGTCGGACAAGAGTCCGATTCCTAGGTCCGATCCGACCGATGGCTCGTTGGCGTCACGGCCGAGGGGCTCGAATCAGATGGCTCCTTGACTTCACGGTCTGAAGATCATAGCAGATCAACACCTCAAAAGGCCCAGCAGAAACCACCTTATGTTCACCATGTTGACCAAGCACTTGAAAAAACATCCCCCCTTGGGAAGATGGTAGCTGTCAGAAGTCCCACGATTCTCCCCCCATGCGATTGAATGACCTCAAACAAACCACACAAAAAGCCTGCTGGAGCTCCCCTTTTCCGTTCCAATGAATGCAAGGCCCATGCACCCAACGTGCCTCAGTAAAAAGAATGAAACCGTGATGCCTCAAAGGGATAAAGCCATACCTCAGTGCGGAGAGCTTGCGGGGTAGAATCAAGAGATCCTGCAGGCGCGTGGTGAAGCTTCAAAGTCTGCCAATGACCCCCAGAAATCACATGGGATTTAGTGTAGGAAACACTCAAATCAAGCGTAGGAAGGAATTCTCCAAACAAAAAAACAACAAACACATGCAGTGGATGATGTGTAGATCCCTTCGATGGTCGCCATCCGTTCGTCGTTTTCGTCCGTTGGTCGCCCCAACATCGTGCATCGTGACCAGTGCCATGAGAAAACAATCGATGTGTTGAATCAGTAGAGGTTACAGTACTGTAACTGTAAGCAGTTGAAGCAGCATTGCTGTTGAGTGAATCACTAGGTCTGCTAAAGTGACTGAATTTGTCGCATTGGCGCTTTTTGACATGGCCCAAAGAGTCTCGAACACGACTTACTAACTGGTACCCACTGTGGTGTAAGTTGCCTCGCTTTCAAAAGGCTGCCACCCTTGGGTTTCTGGGTTTCTGCACCACAACTGCAGGAGAAACCGGAGAAATCCTGTCCTCTTGCCACCATTTTTTTGCGGCCATGCAAATCCACATAACAAAAAAAGGTTTTTGCAATTTTTAGCACGTAACGTGTTGTAGGAAAAAGACCTCCTGACGACTGTGACGACCCTTAGATTGTTTTGGTGAAATCCCCCTCCAAACAAAATAGATCTGAATGTGAACATTGGTTGCCTGGATCCCTGGAAGGCCATGTTCAATCATTTTCATCTATATATACTTGTTCTACCTTGGTTTCACGGTTTCACGAGTGGTTTTGGTTCTCATCCGACCCAGCAATTCTACAAAACCACTCTGAGGGTTCAACAGCATCCAGGAGTTCACGCTGTAAACAGCCTCTCTCGAGATGTCTTGCTTGCAAGCACGACATGTGACTGATCTCAGGTGGTCGCTACAGGCAGGATTCCCATCCAAGCCAATTTGACATCTCTCTCTCTCACAAACACTCACACCGTTGAAACCACTGATTCATCTGGTTTCTTGTTGACACCACACCACCTTGTTGAAACCACCGCAGCAAACATTTGCGGCTCGGCCCAGCGTAAGCGATCTTCTTAAAACCTGGAAGACGGTGCCTCGTTCTGTTGATTGAAGAATCCCTGCACCACCTGGAACGCAAACAATCCGGCAAGATCCTGCAAGTATGATGATTGCTACTGTGATTGGTATATTCAAAGGAGGTCCAGGATGTCTTACAAGCAGCACCATTCGTGACCAGCCATCGCGACCGCAAGCACCACCCCTTTTAAGAACACCGAACATCGTCCCGAGCGTCCCGACCTGTCCCGAGCGTCCCCGTCATCGTCTCATCGTTCGATTCGCCTCGGTGATCCGTAGATTCAGCTCTCCAAGGCTCCGCAGGTACCTGGGGTCCACTGAGACGGGAAGGCTGTCCACGACACGGTGAGGGGCCTGTTTGGGCCATCCCTGGGCCTGTTCGTGTGTGGCCGCAAAGAGTGGTAGCGGGATTCCAGAATTCATCAGCAAACCATGTCATGCAAAGAAATGATCTCAAGACTTTCCTCGCCGTGAAGCGGCGGCTAGAGGATCTGGGCGTTCAATTGGCATTGATGGGTCCCATTGATGGGTCCCACCAAACTGGTTTTTGAGGGGTCACACGAAGGACTCGTCTACAACCTATATACAAGATTTACCACTTAAGTCACCTGAAAGCCAAAGGCCAACGCAGGAAGAGAAGTCGTGCAGAGTCAGGGTGACGTTCCAAACACTCCTTGGACCCAACACCGAAACGCTTGCGCGTCCGGACCTGAACCGTCGTCCCTTTCCATTGGTTCGGGCCCGGATTCTTAGGGTGCATCGAGATTTGCTGAAAAACTGGATCACTGTCAGGCGTTGCGCAGAACAATTTGATACATGTCTATGTTCTCTATCAACATAAACTATCATAATATACGATAATATATATATATATTATAATATTTATCATTTATCTATTTATATTTATGGAATATGTCGATGCTGTATCTCAAGAATGCGACAAACATTTGGCGGCAATATATCGTCAAGCTTTACAAGAAAAATACACAGCCTGCCAAGGTGGCAGTGCAGTTTGTCCATGTTTTTCCTCAATGACAAAATGTCAACCTTCTGACACTCAGAAGAATATTGGAGATGCCTCAGATTTCTTCAGCCACGCAGCCACGCCACCATGAAACATTCAAGCCTCTGGGGTGATCCCGAAATTGAAATGCTAAAATCGCTCAAATTGCAATCTAAAGATCATTGTCCAGAGGCCATCACCTTTTTGACCTCTGCTTTGGATTCCTTCAAAGAACGCCACCTGTTTCGCTCGCAGAACATGCCAGGAACATGCTTTGGGTTCTCTGCCCTTCCTCGACCCAACAGCCGCGCCTTAGGAGGCCATCCAAATCGGAGCTTGGAACGCTGAACTCGGGGTTCTCCTTGTCTTGAGCGACCAAATGGAGCGACCATTTTTGGGGCGCCGCGTCGTTTTTTACTTGGTAGTAGGACACATGGCAATGTGAAATGAAGAGCAGCTAAATTCTATGCGAGCCATGCCAATCAGCTCTTCTCTCTCACAGCAGGAACCTCGCATAGACTCAAGCAGGGCACCCGGAGTCCGAAGGAGCAGCTCAAGGAGCAGCTCAAGTCGTTTGGGAAAAACAACGTTGTGAACACCTCGGACTCCATTGGTCTCCAACGAACGGCACCCACCCAGCCTGAACGGGAGCCCTGGGCGAGCAAGACACAAGAAGACACAAGAAGACACGGACAACGATACGCAACTCTAACATGCAAAGGCACTGTAAGTATGGAGGTCCATTTCACTTGAATTCTAAGGAACATGTATATTTCATTATATTTCAGTAGAAATGATATATGTGTCAAGAGTCGGAGAGCATAGCCACCACTGGGCCTGCGAGATCAGTTCCATCTCCTTTTGTCTTCATCTTTACATTCGACTTGTTCTCGTTCCAAAAATATCGACACATCCGCAACATCGACAGACGCACATCGGCGGCCTCTCGCTGAATTGGGAGGCTCGAGATGTCGAGATCTGTGCTCGCTCTGAGCTGTTGGGCCTGAGCTCGGCTCGCTGCGGAAGCTGGTTTTCGGAGTTCGCGATGGGAGGCGGCCGAGGCTACACGAATGCATTAAGAAAAAAACAACTCCTCTCAATGCACCATGGACAGAACAGAATTTATGTTGATGTCACAAAATGTTGCGTGCTCATACTTCTTGCTGTCCATTTTCTGGGTGCCCCAGCAGATTTGGAGCCTTGCGCTCGGGGGCACCGCAGCCCACGAAGGAGGAGAAGGACCCGCTTGGCGCGCTGCTGGGGCCACCTGGAGGTGTTGAACACATCAGGGGACCCTGCTTGACCACGGAACATGGAACAGAATAGACTACTAAAGGAGATCAAGCTAGGGGGTTAGGGGTGCAGGTTTCGACCCACATCCTTCTCACAGGAGCAAATGCATGATGAGGCCATTAAGGATGTCTGGAAAGGTGGTGATTGAGAGTATCTAGAATCTAGAATCTAGATGATCCTGACTTGAAAGAAAAATGGTGCAAGTGCTGCTTCTGGGTGCTGGACTGTGATTCGATTGATGTGGTCGAGGGCTGGCAATGATCCTGGCAACGATTAAGAAGCTTGGTGGGGCTCCTCAACCAAGCGGGAGCTCCGCCATGTATCATTTGAAGTCACTTCTCCTTATGTTCGCGGGTTTGGGACTCAATACCAGAAGTCTTTTCCTTGAGAGCTGCGGGAACTGCTGGCACGTTGCTGGCCAAAAGGGAGCAAAAGCCTGCGCTGTTGATTGCACATGATAACTTGACAACTTGGCCCTGTTACCTTGTAGATCCTTGTAGAGTTGTACAACCAGATCCAGAATTCCAGATATGAGTCGGGCGCTAGTGAGGGAACTGCCGAACAAACGGGGACCTGTGTCTGAGAGATTGGGAACAAAAACATATAAACACATTGACATGGGTTAAGATCGGTTAAGAAACTTCGTGGAAATGGTATCCAAACCTACCCCACTCTCTCTCTCTCTCTATATATATATATATATTATATTGATATTATATATATACTACATATGTAATGTCTCTGGATCTCTCCTTCAAGAAAAATGGGACATGAACAACAAAAACATCATATATTATGTCTATGTGTGTAACTCTCCCTTCCTCTCTATCTATCTTCTCTTTCTTTCAAACCCAGCTTACAGCAAACGACTTTTGCCAAAAGACCCTGGCCATGTCTTCCCAAAACGGCCCGCGTCTCTCGCGCCTCGGCGGCCGCGGGCTGCTGGGGGTCGCGGACCAGGTGGGACCTCCGCGGTACGACCGAGGTATGGAATCCATGGGACTGGAAGAGTGACCGAAACATGATCTGGGGTCAAGTTGGATTGGATGGGGTATAGGGTAAACGGACTCCATGGAATAGTCAATGTCTGGGGTCAAGTTGAATCGGTATGTAAATGTGTACATGTCATTTTTCCAGGGATGGTCTGGGGAACAGGGCATTGACCAAAAAACGGCGATCTTTCCCACCTGATCTCCATCTGATTCACCTGAGGTGCAGAGTTTCTTGCAGAGGGTTAGCGAAGGTCGTAACTACCAAAAACCCCTTATTCAATCATTGATATTTCAACCAACAGGATGTACTCCACAGGACATCCATAGCTTCCAAGATCTTGCGAACAAGACAGCACTTGGATTGCCAAGCAACCTGTCAAACAAAGGTCCGAGTATTCTCTGTGCTTTCAAACCACTTTGGACTCGAGTCAATGATTGTACAGAGTGTTTGGGACATACATAATCAGGTCAACGTTGATTGAACTTACTGCAACTTACTGGTTTTGAATCATCCATCAAAGAACTTACGAGGCAATCCACATTAACTCTCATGCAATGAAAACTTCGGACCCCGCCCCCGCAGTGAGTTGTTCTTTTGGGTCTGCGAAGGATGAAGGTCCTGGAGCATCCACCGAGAAAAGGTACGGTGCATCATCCACCGGTCGAGACCAAGTTCGGCATCATCCCCAAAGAGTGATACAAAGACCTGGCTGGACCTTTGTTGCGGCCAATGTTCAAGCGGCTCGCAAGGCGCAAGTTCAGCACTCTCACTTTGCGAGCCGCAAGAAAACGATACGCAAGTAACAGCATGCGTGTGTGTGTGTGTCACACCCTGTATCCAAGGGTTTCTTCTTTTACCCCCGTTCTTTCCAGCAGGGGGCTGGCGGTCCATTTCTCGACGCTAGCCAACGAAGCTAAAGAAATGATGGATGGATTAGTCCGTGGACGCACGGACTTGTACCTGCGCTGTTTGAACTTTTGAACTTTTGACCTAGCTGTCCACCCTATTCGTCAATAAAGTGCTAATGCAGCCGCCGCTCGCCGCTCGCCGCTGCAGATGTTCCAAGCAATACCAGTTTCGGACCCTTCGCCTTGCGGTTCCCTCAAGTCAAGTGCCGTGCACTCGTGGGTTATCGTTTTGAATGAACCTTATCGAAGTGTGTACTACGCTTTCCCACTCGGGTGCGTAGTGTGATCCCGGCAAGGGGCGCTGAGACCACTCCGGACGCCACTTTCAGCATAGCGTTTCTGCATTGGTTTGCCATTAACAGCTAGATCGGCTATCAAAGATAAACTGAAATCCAAGCCGCCGGGCCCACGGAAACTTTCACTGGATATTTGACTTCAGCATTTTCATTTGATTTCAACGTTTCACTTTTCAGTGGTCACATGTGCTGACTGCGTTTCTTGCAATTTCAGACTTTAGAATGATCCCCACCCCCGCCCTCTTTCTCTCTTGCAGCTTGCTTCGTTTGTTGGGTGTTTCTTCAGGCTTGTTAGGTTGCTTGTCAGGCTCGTTTCCCTGCCCCTCGGTTTCGTTTCTTTCTCTCCTGCCTCTTCGTTTCTCTTTCTAGGTCTGCCTTTCTCAACGGCTTTTTAGGTATGTAACCAAGTACTCACTAGGTGTAGAACCTAAGTAACTTCCAAGCTGTCTACTGCGTTGTTACTTTCTTAATACAAGCGTGCGCCGCATTGCGGCGCTGAGTGTGTGTGTGTGTGCCCCTTGTAGTCACAGGGATTCGTTTGAATTGTTTTTTCATTAGCAGGGGGTGCAAGCAGCCCATCCAGTCTTGCACCAACGAAGACACTGGATGTGTGCTGGTGAAATCAATCCGGGACGCCGGATTGACGTACCTGCTGGGAGAGAAACCTACGTAGAGCACAGGCTGTCTACTTCGTTGTTTCCTTCAGTCAAGGGCTAATGCAGCGATGATTTTCCTTGAGTGATTGGACCTCTGGAGCTCCACTGACTTGCCCGACCCGTCGTCACCCCGTCGTCGTCGCGCGCCTTCGTGTTCATAGGTTTGGAGGCCTCTAACCCACTACCTGGAACCTTAGGTGGTTTTACCTAGGCCGGCGTGTGGCACCGCTGTCAAGTCAGTACGCATATCCATAAGTGTGTTTGGCCTGGCGCCAACCCGGGATGAGCCCGCAGAGTGCCTCCCGTGGACCCGTCGAACGGGGGTTTGTCCATGTTCCCCGGCTCTGGGAACGCAGATGTCCGCAGCGGACAGTAGCTGGCTTATGCCACAAGAACCGGGATGTTTGTCTCATTTTTGGAACTCCAAGTTGGCTCATGCCTTTACGTGACCGCAGCGGTCAAAGCAGCCAGCCATTTCGGCAGGGCACAAGGTGACCACAGCGGTCAAAGTCAGTTTAAGGTTCATTGGAACCTGTCCCAACCTCAGGTGCACACACAGCGCTTACACTCAAACGAGGCAGGTCCCTAGGTGCTCCTAATGAGGTTTGGTTTCATCGGTTCTCGTCCCCTCCATGTGGTTCCCCTTTCACTTCCCCTTCACACACTTTTGTTTCCTCTTTTTTTTTATGTCCTCCTGTCTTCATGTCTGTTCATCTCATCCTTTTCTTCGTTTGCGTGCACATTGGTCCCGGCCTTAGTGTGTACGTGCACTTCTACATACCTTTAAACACAGGTTTCAGGTCGCCCAGGTCTCTACAATGAGGTGGGCTTCATCGGGTGTCCCTGTGCACTTGGTTCCCCTTTCATTTCAACCACACGCACCTTTGTCCCGTCTCGTCTTCCTGTCATGTCTTCATTCTTTTGTCTTGTGCGCGCACACGTGCACATTGGCCCTCACCTTAGCTTTACGCCTCCCCTCGGAGGCGTGTGTGTGTACCCCTTGTAGTCACAGGGATTCGTTTGAATTGTTTTTTCATTAGCAGGGGGTGCAAGCAGCCCATCCAGTCTTGCACCAACGAAGACACTGGATGTGTGCTGGTGAAATCAATCCGGGACGCCGGATTGACGTACCTGCTGGGAGAGAAACCTACGTAGAGCACAAGCTGTCTACTTCGTTGTTTCCTTCAGTCAAGGGCTAATGCAGCGATGATTTTCCTTGAGTGATTGGACCTCTGGAGCTCCACTGACTTGCCCGACCCGTCGTCACCCCGTCGTCGTCGCTCGCCTTCGTGTTCATAGGTTTGGAGGCCTCTAACCCACTACCTGGAACCTTAGGTGGTTTTACCTAGGCCGGCGTGTGGCACCGCTGTCAAGTCAGTACGCATATCCATAAGTGTGTCACACCCTGTATCCAAGGGTGTCTTCTTTTACCCCCGTTCTTTCCAGCAGGGGGCTGGCGGTCCATTTCTCGACGCTAGCCAACGAAGCTAAAGAAATGGATGGATGAGTCCGTGGACGCACCACGGACTTGTACTTGCGCTGTTTGAACTTTTGAACTTTTGACCTAGCTGTTCACCCTACTCTTCAATAAAGTGCTAATGCAGCCGCTTCTCGCCGCTCGCCGCTGCAGATGTTCCAAGCAATACCAGTTTCGGACCCTTCGCCTTGCGGTTCCCTCAAGTCAAGTGCCGTGCACTCGTGGGTTATCGTTCTGAATGAACCTTATCGAAGTGTGTGTATTCATGAAATCATGCAACAGACCGGGCTATTTCATGGAACAGAAAAAATTGTTCGGCAGGGATGGTGCATTAATACACAGTGCTACACAAAATAAAGAACTTCCAGCTTTCTGCTTTGTACAGTCAGCTGTTCATCACGATGTCCTATTTCAAAAGATCGTGCCAAATCACCTCAGCGACAATGAACTATACTGGCTAGTATCCATGCAAGGCATTGGAAGCAATCAACAGTCAGCAATACATGAAATAGCTCTTGTGTATTTATATACAGCATATGGGATGGAACAGAGAACTCTTCAAGTCTTTCACCACCGGAACGGTCTGTGGTGAACCCTGTGTCTCTTTGCTTGCCCAGATGGCCAAGAATGAATTACGTGCAGACATATTAAAACAAATGAATTCTGCATAAACATATTAAAACGAATGAATTGCGTGTGTTGAAACCAGCCAAGAACCCATCTAACTGCACCACAATAACGACTGCTGTAGTTTTTTACAATATAAGTCTACTATAGTCTACTGTATTTTGCTCAAGCACTGGTCATTGTCTGGCTTCCCCCGAGGGATCCATTCAAGCAGGGGTGGACTCATGTTCTCCCCCCACAGAGCATGCGAGATGGCTGGGCCTCACTCAGCAAGTTCCACAATTCTTCACGCACATCATGTGATGAGGGGGCTTCGGGATGATGCACTCGAGCCACTGTGGTAAGAAGAGCTAGTGTTGAGCTCACAAGCGCATACAAAGCATATTGATCCCAGCTACCAAGCACAGTCAGACATGCTGTGAAGAGAAATTCAGGAAGATCTTGGAAGAATGTAAAGATGTACTCACAGTCGGCGAAACGTTCTCCGTTGTGGCGGGTTCGGAACAAAGCAAAGACCTCAGCCATTTCCAAAAGAATCAAGGCCAGACAAAGAATGAAGCCTGCTAGTGGGAAAATCGATGGCTCCTCGGGGAATTGTGCCCACGCCATTCCCACCAATGCATATAGATTCAGTAGCTCCTTCACAATGATGGCATGAGCCTTGGTGATGTAAGGTACCAATTGTGAAACGGGGTCCTCAGGGTTTGGGTACTCCACCATGGCTGTGATCAGCTTCTTGAACGAATGCATTGTGTTGGCGGCCTGAGCCAGGCTGATTCAAAAATTCAAAAAATCGCAATCATGGGTTTCTGCTGAAAAGGCGGGCGCTATCGAATTTATGAATCAACGTTGCAAGTTTGCAACTGTATCTGACTGATTTAGACAAAAATATATAATCTTAGGTATATAAATTGGAACGGACCCCGACAAAGTGTTCTTCCTCCACAGTCAATGTGGCACTAGGACCTCCTAGACAGTCCTAGCCTGCACGATCAAAATGTAGGAACCAA